CGCAACTAGAGAAAGCCCTCGCACAGAAATGAAGACCCAACACAGCCAAAAATAAATATAAAAATAAATAAATAAAAAGATTACTATTAAAATTGAGATATAACTGATAGAACATTATATTAGTTTTAAGTGTACAACGTAATGATTTGATATATGAATATATCACAAAATAATTACCACAGTAAGTTTAGTCAACACCTACCACCACACATAGTTACAAGTTTTTTCTTGTGATGACAACTTTTAAGATCCACTCTCTCAGCAACTTTCAAATACAATACAGTGTTGTTAACTATAGTCACCTTGCTGTGTATTACATTCCTAGGACTTATTTATCTTATAACTGGATGTTTGTACCTTTTGGCCATCTTCACCCATTTTGCCCACCCCCCCATAACCACCCACCTCTGGCAACTACCAATTTGTTCTCTGTATCTATAAGTTCATTTAAAAAAATATTCCATACATAAATGAGACCATACAGTAATTGTCTTTCTCTGTCTGACATTTCACTCAGCATAATGCCCTCAAGGTACATCCACGTTGTGGCAAATGGTAAGATTTTCTTCTTTTTCATGACTGAATAATATTCCATCGTGTGTATGCATACACATATACACATACATATACATATATACACACACCACAACTTCTTTATCTTTTCATCCACTGACGGATATATAGGTTGTTTCCATGTCTTCACTACTGTAACTAATGCTGCAACAAACACAACACAATAATGCTGCAACACAAAAATGTAGATACATTTTTTCCAGACAGTGATTTCACTTCCTTCAGATAAATACCAAGAAATAAAACTGCAGGATCGTATAGTAGTTCTATTTTTAATTTTTTGAGGAATCTCCATACTGTTTTCCATAGTGCCTGCACCAATTTATCCATACCTTCCTACCAACAGTATACAAGGGTTCCCTTTTCTCCATATCCTAGTCAATACTTGTTATTTCTTGCCTGCCACAATTATTAAATAGCCAATCCTAAGCTACTTACTCTACACTGTTGTGCCTTTCCTGAGAAAATACCAATTTAATGGCTTTGGCCTAGGCTTTCCTCTTGTTCCTGCTTCTGCCTCCTGACCAAAACCTGATGTTTCCCTTGTGGCCCAGCATGGCATGGTGTGCTCCCTTCTTTCAGGAAATGTAAGTAATTTGCCTTCAATGGCATTCGTCTCTCTATGTCATTACTTTTGCCTTCAATGGCATTAGTCTATGTCATTACTCAGTCACCTCCATAAATCAAAATCAAGCAGGTACAAGTGAGAAAATAATTATAGAGTTACAAAATAATAATTAAAAAATTAATGAAATGGAGAAGATTCTGATAAAGAAGCTAGATAGGCACTGAGTTTTGAAAGATCTTAGCCAAAAGTTTAAATGCATTCAATATTTTTGGAAGGTAAATGAGTAAAAATTAGAGAAGGTAAAGTTAAATTAGGAAAGTACTGAACCACACAAGAAACCAAAATACCTGAACTTTTCTTTTGATGGTAGCAATAGTGAATACAGCTGGGAGCATTCCACTTGTGCTTAAAGTTCAAATTCCCTAAAGCATATCTGGGGGTTCTAACAGGGCAGCACAAGCACTCATAAACGCTTTACCTGCTCTATCAGGAAAGGATACAATCTCAAATCGAGGACATGCTTGAGAATGCGAAATGGTATAGCCACTCTGGAAAACAGTTTGTTAGTTTCTTATAAAGCTAAACAGAGTCTTACCAAACAATCTAGCACTGATGTTCCTAGATATTTCTCCAATTGAGTTGAAAACTTACGTCTATCCAAAAACCTACACATAAATGTTTAGAGCAGCTTTATTTATAATCACCAAAAACTAGAAACAATCAAGCTGTCCTTTAACAGGTGAATGAATAAACCAGGACATTCAAACAATGAAGTATTATACAATAGCAAAAAGGAGCTATTGAAATAGCCACAAGAAGAAATTTTCCAGACCATATCGCTAAGTGAAAGAAGTTGGTCTAAAAAAGCTACATACTGTAAGAATCAGATTATAAGATATTCTGGAAAAAGACAAAAATTATAGGGACAGTAAAAATATCAGTGGTTGCCAAAGTTTCAGGGGTGGGGAGTGAGGGAGGGATAATAGAGCACAGTGGAGTTTTAAGGCAGTTAAACTGTTCTGTATAATACTGTAATAGTGATATACAGCATTACACATTTGTCAAAACCCATAGAACTGTACAATACCAAGAATGAACCCTGATGTAAACCATGGAACTTAATAATAATGTATCGATAATGGTTTATTAATTGTAACAAATGTACCTATTAAGATGTTAATAATAGGGGAAACTGTGTGAAAGAGGCATATGAGAAAAACACTCTGCTCAATTTTTCTGTAAACCTAAAACGCTCTAAAAATAAAGTTTATTAATAGGAAAAAGGGGAATGAAATTCTTCAAACACAAAAAATAGTCAGGTGCTGCCAATCAAAATGAATGATAAATGTCTATTATAGCTTCGCTAAAAGCAACACTAGCAGTAATGATATCAGGAGAGATTCCCTCTAGTATAATTCATAAGCCAAAAGACCCGCTATGTATAATGTGACATTGTATAAAATGTTTGCTATAAAAAATTAGAAAATATTAATGAGGAGATAGATAATCTGGATGGCCAACCATAAGAAAATTAATCTGATATCAAGGGATGGAACAGAAATCTCATATTCCCAAGAAATAGAATAATATTTCCAAGAGAGTAAAGACAAGGGACAACCTATCTGTTTTCCTAAATTTTTAACATCATGCATGTACCCGAGAGTTCCTCCTGTCAGGAACTGTCTTTAGCTTGCTTCTTTACTCTGGGCACCAACCGGGTAGTGTCATATCACCAGAGGCAAGCTCTAACTTGGCCATGCTTGGCATACCAGTAAGTTCCTGAGTTAAGACAAAGAGATGCATGTTGTCAGTTGTTATCTACTTACTGTTATCTACTTTTCTTCAGTTCCTTACATTCTACCATAGCTATTGGTCCACTCTCTTATACTTATACTTTAGTTTGGATCCATCATAATTATCTATTATCTTACTATAACTATCTCTGTTGACTTAAGTCCTGACTGACACACCTATATAGTTTCTTCAGTCTTTTAAACATTTATTAAGTGCTTCAATTCAAATTTAGCAAATATTTACTGAGCTCCTTCAAGCTCATTTCACCCTCAAAGCTACAGCTACTCTAAGCAGCTATTACTACCTCTATCTTATAGAGAAGCAAACATACACAGAGAAGTTAAATACTTTGTCTTAAGTCACCCAAATCAAATCTAAGTCTATCAACCAAATCCTATGCTCTTTCCACTCATTTTTCTCTCTCCCTATCAAACTACAAGGCACTGTCTTTGCTAGTTAGAATTTAAGGCTTTATTCCACCTCCTGACACCTGATTTTTCAAACCCTAACTAAAAAAAATTAGGTCCTCTAGACCTAGTGACTCTGCCTGATCCTTCAAATCTTGCTCTAGTGTGCTCTTCTATTCCCAGCTCCTTTCTCTATATCCATCTACACAACTACTACTATATGCTAGCCATGGTGCCCTCAAGATTTCAAGAAAAATTCTGCCAATAGAACCTCCTTTTGGGGGAAAAGAGAGAAATAAGTCTTGAGAGGGCACTGTGGTCTTGTTTCAGCCTACTGTCTTCCCTTTAACAGACTATACACTGTAGCAACTATATCAGTGTACTGTAATTGGCTGCTTAATAGATTCTTTCTTGTATTACACTATAAACAACTTGAAGCCAGTGATCTGCCTGAAGCAACAATGATAACTGAAAGCACTCCCAGAGCCTCGAAGTAAATGAATATCCGCCACATCTATTATTTTTAAGGGAGAAAAAAATCTTAACGGACTTAAATTTGACTATAAAAAGCAACTTTAGTGAAAAGAGGTTGCTGCTAAAAGCTATCAGAGCACATGTGAAAATCAAAACCAATATATACTTTAGAACACAAGCTAATCACTTGATTTTTCAATAGCCAAGTTAACAAAGTAGCCCCTTATCTTGTAAGCAAATAATAATTGTCCACTATAGACACGAAGTTTGTAAAGTAACAAAATAAGACTGCATTATTTTAGTGTCCCAAGGAAACAGTATGAGTAATGGAGCAAAAAAGCTTTGTGTGATCTTGAGCCTTTCTGAAACTCATTTTGTTTCATCTGCAATAGGGACAGGATTGCTGAAAGAATTAAATAAGATCATAAAGTTCTCAGCACATGTTTTTTATATAGTGAGAACTCAAATTGTTCTTTCTTCTTCTTCTTCTTATGTCCTTAATCTTTGTTTCTTCACTTACAATATTAAAATCACTACCATACAGGGTAGTTGTGAGAATTAAGTACATTGCTTGGCACATAACAGGTACTTATGAAAGTCCATCATTCCCATCCCTTTAGGATTATTGGGGGAATGAGGCAAAATTCAACAAAATAAGATAACTTTATTTATAAAGCCCTGGGTTGGGAGAAAAACACACCACGAATTGTGTGTTTGCTTTTGGGAGGGGGGATTCCGGTGAGGAGAAAAGAAGAAAAAGAGATAACATTTTATTATAATATAATGCAGGCCGTCATTTAATCACATAATGAAGTCATGACTTCATAATGATTTGAAATAATGATTTATAATAATCATTAAGGTACAAGGTTAAACTTAGTTAAAAAACACTCAGGGACTAGTACATTGTCTGTCTAAAGTAAAACAAAAAAAATTTCAGTGGGAACTAAATATAAACACAAGAAATTTAATCATTAATTAGTGAGACATTTTAGAAGCAACTTCACAAAGTCTCATTATTTCGTCGTCCTATAAAACCAAAACAACATTTTGAACTGGAGTTTAAAATATGAATTAACAGGAACCTACTGTTGTGATGCCTCATTCTGTTCTAAATTTTGCATTCTTCTGAAAGAAATACATGTGTACTAGACGTAAGAAAATAAACATTTCAGTTTCCTTACCTGTTGTGTTCCATCTGCACTTACAATAGGGGCAGATAGGAGAGAAATATCACTACTTAAAATCTGAGTGGTATCCAGTAGTGGTGGATGTTCTGCCATTATCAATAAGACATTAATATACCGGATAACCCTCCAACTCTGAAAAACAAAAATACATAGCCATTTGTGTGTACATCGTTAAAAATATATTAAAATATAATACATTCAAGATAAAGATATATTCTTGTCAAAGGAAATTTTACAATACTCCATTGACAGCTTTTTTCTGTCAATGGATCATTTAAGGAAATATATTTCTTATTTACCAGCTGTCTGTCAATGTAGACAGCAAACCAAGATACACATCAGGAGCTTCTATTTAAATTCCATGTCTGGGGACTTCCCTGGTGGCAAGTGGTTAAGAATCCGCCTGCCAATGCAGGGGACACAGGTTCAAGCCGTGGTCCAGGAAGATCCCATGTGCTGCAGAGCAATTGAGCCCATGCGCCACAACTACTGAGCCTGAGCTCTAGAGCTCGAGCCACAACTACTGAAGCCCACATACCTAGAGCCTGTGCTCCGCAACAAGAGAAGCCACCGCAATGAGAAGCCCGCCCACCACAACGAAGAGTAGCCCCTGCTCGCCACAACTAGAGAAAGCCTGTACGCAGCCACAAAGACCCAACACAGCCAAAAATAAAAATAAATAAATTCCATATCTGTCTGTCTCTCTATCCCTTCCACCTCCATATAATATTTATTTAATTTAACCACCACTACTTTAGCTAAACAGTGGAATAGGAACTAAAATGCAATGATTGAATGAGGCAACTCTATCACTGATGTTTTAATCTGCGCTGAGAAGGTGTTTGTGAAGGCCCAGTTTCCCCTCATCACCCTATCAGTCTCTAGGAACTCACAAGAATTATAATTTTTCACTGATTCCTCAAACAGCAAAATTTGAAAAATTTGCTCAGGATAAGAAAAAGAATCTTCAAGTTTTAAGCGTTAAGCTCTGGCTTTGGTCTTCTGTCATTCTGGTTTTATTATTTTTTTCTAAATACTTTACAATAAGCCAAATCATTTCAGTGATACAAGCACATACACTTAGAACTCTTTAACTGTATATACATTATCACTTATATAAAAAGTAAAAGATTTGATATAAGCAATATTAGTCTACCATATATAACATCAACCATTAAAACATCAGTAAATTACAAGTCAAAATGAGTACAACTGAGCTCAATCATAAATTTTATCAAATCTATACTGAAAGACAAAATAACAAACATTTTTGGATGCTTGCCGCATTCTACAATTCAGCAGTGTCAAAATGTTTAACTTTTATAAGACATTAAATTCATGCTATTTATTTAAAAATCTTGAATCTTTGCAGAAAACTTTCATATAAGTTGATTTAACCTAAAAACAGTTTTCTATTTAGATATATAAACACTGGGTTTGTTTTTTGTTTTTTGTTTTTTTTTTGCGGTACGCGGGCCTCTCACTGTTGTGGCCTCTTCTGTTGCGGAGCACAGGCTCCGGACCTGCAGGCTCAGTGGCCATGGCTCACGGGCCCAGCCACTCCGCGGCATGTGGGATCTTCCCGGACTGGGGCAAGAACCCGTGTCCCCTGCATCAGCAGGTGGACTCTCAACCACTGCGCCACCAGGGAAGCCCAACACTGTTTTAAGATTAAAACAAATATTCAATACAGGTATCTACTTCAAGATTAAGTAAAACTATAGTATGAAACATTTTATATTATTTAGCTATCTCATAAAAATGCATGCCATTTAAACATAACATATATATAAATATATAATAAATACATATGATATAAACACATGTATGTTCTATATATACAGTATATAAACATTTTTATAGACATATATAAATGGAGTAAATCTAAATTCTGGCTTAATCTGTATTGCTATATTTCTTAAAGTCCAACAAAATCACTGAGTACCTTAAATCATGTCAAATAATTTCACTCTGTGGAACACACAAAGAATTATATATAAGATGGGAAAGAGTCAATGTATTTTCCCTCTTGCATGTCATAAGATTTAGTTCAAGAAGAAACATTTTAGGAAGCTAACTCAGGATTAACCAGAGAAAGTTTATAAGTAATTTACCTTTTAAAATTAATAAATTAAAAAAATAACCACCACTGAGAATTTTTCTTTTGTCATTGTATCCTAATATTTTATTTAATATGCTTAGTTAAAACTGCAAGCCACCATTATTACAAAAATTTTAGAATGTAATGCTGAAGATACAACCATAATTTGGTTTCAAGAGGTGGACTGGAAGCTTTACAAATAAAAATAGAAATTTCTTCTGAATCTCCCTTTAATTCCAGTGGTATTATACAATGAATCTGAAGCCATATGCTGTGTTTTAATATTATCATTCCATTTAAGGTGTTATCTCTGATTTTACTCTCTTCAAAGCTATAACATCGTTTCATTTATGAACTGCCTTCTTTTATGGCCATATTCATCACACTACATGCAAAGTAGCTGGTTTTATTTCAGCTTGCAAATTGGAAACTTCAGTCATGCAACTAAAATGTTGCATTTAGAAACCTAAAAATTCCTTTCATTCCTGCATAGAGAACACTGTCAGCTTCTTCTTTCAATCAATTTCTTCTAATTTTGTTACTACTAAGTTCCTATGTTCTCATCTTATCTTGTGACCACAAATACCCACTTGTTTTAAGTTATGCATCTATTTTTGCTTGTTTTTAATAATATAATATTTGATATGTGCAAAACAGGGGAGAAGTGATTTGTTCCATCTGCTAATTTCCATGGAATACATATTCCTCCATGCCCCATTTCAAGCCATCATGGTTTACAAATCGACCTGAAGGGCTTCCCTGGTGGCGCAGTGGTTGAGAGTCCGCCTGCCGATGCAGGGGACGCGGGTTCGTGCCCCGGTGCGGGAGGATCCCACATGCTGCGGAGCGCCTGGGCCCGTGAGCCATGGCCGCTGAGCCTGCGCGTCCGGAGCCTGTGCTCCGCAACGGGAGAGGCCACAACAGTGAGAGGCCCACGTACCGCAAAACAAAACCAAAAAAACCAAAAATCGACCTGAAGATGCCTGAATTTTTAGCAATCAACTTTTGTATACAAGTACAAGATGGCTCCAGCATATCTGTTTATACCTATATCTATATATCAATATTTGACCATCTATGTGGTAATAATACAATAAAATATTAACATTTGGGGAGTCCATGTGAAGAATAGCTGGATATCTTTGTACTATTCTTGCAAATTTTCTATTAGTCAGAATTCTAACTAATGTCAAATTAAACAGTGTTAAAAAAATTATGCCAAGTAGACTGTATGCATATCTGAATGCAAAAAGTAAGACAAAAAAGCTTCTAGAGATAACACAAAAGAATATCTTCATAACTGACACAGAGCAAGATTTTTTACACAGGGTATAAATGTTTCTTAAATCATAAAGGAAAAGAATGACATATTGAACTTCATGAAAATTAAGAACTACGATTCATTTAAAAAATTTTAAGAGAATGAAAATGCAAGCCACAGACTGAAAAATATTTACAACACATATAACTGGAAAAGAGGACATATTTCGTATATATACAGGCCTCCTACAAATTGAGTTTTTAAAAAATAGAAAAATGAGATGAGACTTGAATGTGCTCTTCACAAAAGCAGAAATTCAAGAGACCAATAAACATATAAGAAGATTCTCAAGTTCATTATTTATTAGGAAAAAGCTAATTAAAATCATAATGAAATACCACCATATACTAGGATAGTAAAAATGGAAAAGACTGACAATATCAAGTATTAGTGAGGCTACAGAGCAACTAGCACACTCATATGGAATGTGAATGAAAACTCATAAAATCACTTTGGAAACCAGTTTGATACTACCTACCAAAATTGAACATATAAATATTCTATGACCCCATTATGATCCAGCTATTAGACTCCTGGTATATACCAAAAAGAAATGCATGCACATGCACACCAAAAGATAAGTACAAGAAGGGATGTATAGCAGCATTATTATAATGTATAGCAGCATTATTCTTTAATAGCCCCCAATTGTAAATAAGCTAAATGTCCCTCAACAGTAAATGGTAAACTGTATCTGATTCACCCAATGGACTACTATACAGCAATGAAAATTAATGAAGCAGTAATATAGAGAACAATACAAATAAATTTCACAAATACAATGTGAGTGAAAAACACACAGAAGAGTACAAACTGCACAATTTTATTTATAGAAAGTTTAAAAACCAATAAAACTTGTCTGTGGTATTAAAAATCATGTAGTGATTGCCTTTGGAAAGGAAGAAAGGATGGGGACTGGGAGGGGCATGAAGGTAATTTTTTGGGTGCTGGCACTGTTCTACGTCTTGACCTGGGAGGCTGTTGTATGGTAACTACTAGTGTATTATAAACTGAACTGTACACTAAGTATGTACTTCTCTGCATATACTTCAATAAAATTTTTTAAAGGTAAAAACACACGATCATCCCAACTGATGCAGAAACAGCATCTGACAAGATTCAACATCCTTTCATGATAAAAACACTTAACAAACTAGAAATAGAAGGAAACTACTTCAACATAATAAATGCCACATATGAAAAGCCCACAGCTAACACCATACTCAGTGGTGAAAGACTGAAAGCTTTTCCTCTAATCGCGAACAAGGCTAGAATGCCCACTCTCACCACATCTATTCACAGTACTAGACATAGTAATAGACACAATATTAGACATTAGACATAGGCAGAGCAATTAAGCATGAAAAAGAAATAAAAGGCATACAAACTGGGAATAAATAAGTAAAACTATCTTTGTTCACAGATGACAGGATCTTACATGTAGGAAATCCTAAAGGTTTTAAAAAAACTATTAGAACTAATAAATTCACTAAAAATGCATGATACAAAATCAATGCACAAAAATCAGTTGCATTTCTATACACCAACTGAAACGATCTGAAATCTGTTCCATTTACAATAGCATTAAAAAGAATAAAATACTTAGGAATAAATCTAACCAAAGAAAACAAAGATTTGTATACTGAAATCCATGAAATATTGCTAAAAGAAATTAAAGAGGACACAAATAAATAGAAAGACATCCTGTGT